ACCCCTGACCCTGGGGCCATAAATTCAAAATTTGGTAGAGGCATTCTTGTTCATCATAACTATGATCTTAATTAGTTTATTTAATACTTTGGAGCAGAGAAGAAGATTTTCAAAGAATTCATGTATTTTCACTATATAATCAAAAGAGCCCCGTCCTAACACCAGAACCCCTGACCCTGGGGCCATAAAATTCACAATTTTAGAAGAGGCACTCTTGCTCATCATATCAATGTACTTAGTAAAGTTTATATAATACATAAGAGCAGAGAAGAAGATTTTCAAAGAAATAATGCATTTTCACTATATAATCAATATAACCCCCCCCCCCCTTTAACACCATAACCCCTGACCCTGGGGCCATAAAATTCACAATTTTGGTAGAGGCACTCTTGCTCATCATAACTATGCACTTAGTTAATTTATTTAATACCTAAGAGCAGAGAAGAAGACTTTCAAAGAATTCGTGTATTTTCACTATATAATCAATAAAGCCCCACCCTAACACCAGAACCCCTGACCCTGGGGCCATAAAATTCACACATTTGGTAGAGGCACTCTTGCTCATCATAACTATGTACTTAGTTAGTTTATTTAATACCCAGGAGTAGAGAAGAAGATTTTCAAAGAAATAATGCATTTTCACTATATACTTATTTTGCCCCGCCCTAGCACAAGAACCCCTGACCCCGGGGACATGAATTTCAAAAATTTGGTAGAGGACTCAATGTTGATTACAATCATGCAAACAGTTTGACTGCTTGATGTCCAGGAGTAAAGAAAAAGATTTTTAAAGATTGCATTAATCTAAGTGGTTTTGGCCCCACCCCCCAGGCCCCAGGGGGGCAGTGATCATGAAATTCACAATTTTTGTTTCCCTTCACCCGTAGATGTTTTGTGCCAAATTTGGTTGAAATTGGTTCAGTGGTTGCAGAGAAGAAGCTGAAAATGTTTAAAAGTTTACGACCGATTGACGACAAACGACGAACGCCGTACGACGACGGACGAAAGCAGATAGCAATAGGTCACCTGAGTGACTCAGGTGACCCAAAAACCATAAGTTAAATTCTTTATTAAAACAAACTGTTAAAGTCTCTAGCCTTGAAATTAGAACTCAATCTATCACATCTAGGGGATAATCTACCTTTTTCTACACTTTCTAAGTATTAAAGCAAAGTCATGGTTTCTATTCAGAAATCCTGGTCATGGCACCAAATGTAAGTGGAGAAGAAAATTTGCAACGAACCAGACAGGGATTCGAATCTGGGCCCCCTGAATCTCCAGTCAGTTGCTAAGTCCTGTTTGTCTGAAACATTTTAAATTTTCAGGATAGCGTATTAATATTTACTTTATCTTATACCATATAAAATAGGCCAAGAAGGTTTTGGACAACATTCATTCAAGAGGGATAAGGAAAGAAAATTAATTTTTCTGCTTTTATCCTTTCACACTGTGATAAAGTATCACTTTGATGCTCTTTCACACTGTGACAAACTGTCCATTCATTCAATCCTACATTAAATCACAGTATTTTATTTTTGAGTATAAAAATATATCTTCTGCATTCATGATTTTCATTGTTGTTAATCTCATAATTTTTTAGGAAGAACATGAAAGAGAGATTAAGATTGATTTAAGCCCCAAGCAATGCGGAAATCTCTTGGATTTTATCTACACCGGGCAGGATGTTTGGGATACCATTGATGATGCCATAGACATGCTGCATATATCTCAAATGTTACAAATACAATCCCTTAAAAACCAATGCCTGCAGTACTTGATGAAAAATATAGACAAAAAATACTGCATTCGCATGTGGGAGGTAGCGAAACTGTTAGGACTGAAAGATTTAGAAGAAAAATCTGGTGTAGTTATTTCCAAAGAATTTGCCATGGTATCTGCCACCGAGGATTTTCTACTGTTAAATCAGGTGGGATTCGTTGTTGAGTTACTGAACAAAAGAGATTTGAATGCTCAAGAAGAAACTATTGTAAAAGCTGGGCTCTGCTGGATCGAAAGGGATTTCAAAAACAGAGAGGATTATATCAATGACATATGCCAAGCACTGCAGATAAAACGTTCTTTATTGGAAAGCTTCCACAACTGCATAAGAGTACCGTCTTTAGAAATGCTATGACTACAACTGTAATATATGCCAGGACTAAAGGAGATAGAAATTGGGAAACAGTGAGACTGGATATAGAAGAGTGTTTGGTGATATTAGGAGGGAGTGATGGGGGAAGCAATAGAAATGTCACCTGCTTTGGTTTTCGACAGAAAAAATGGTTCACCCTTCCTCCCATTCCATATGATCCAGGTTGTAATTTCTCAGTTTGCACCCACGAGTCGAAGATTTATGTATCGGGAGGTTCTAGAAAAGGATCAGGGTTTTGCATGTATGATGGTGAAAGCAATACATGGATTCAGCTACCAAATCTAATATCTCCGAGACAGTACCACTGTATGGCATCTTCATGTGGAAAAATTATTATCCTTGGTGGCAATGAGGCTAAAAATAGCTCGACATTTATGAAGGAAATCGATGTTTTTGATACTGCCACAAATTGCTGGAGTGAAACCAGAACAACTCTCGATCAAGAAGTGAGATCCTGTGCTTCTTGTGTCTTAGAGGATAAGATCTTTCTCATCGGAGGATGGCGTCCAAATAACCAAAAAGCAGAAAAACTTCAGTGCTATGACATGAGCACTGGATACTCTGCACTATTTCAGTGGTGTACAATTCCAGAACAAATTAGGGTCCAGGCCCGAGCAGTAGTAGTGAACAGCACAATATTTGTTATTTCTAAAGACGGTATGATTTTCAGCCTAAAAAATGTCAGAGTGAATACAAATTCGAAAGAAAAGGAAACATATCGCAGTTTCCCAGAAGTGGTTATGGCGTTTGTGAATTTGATGGAAGAATTCTTATCGTTGGTGGGGAGAAGAATTTATCGAGCACCAATGACATGATACAATACAAGCCAGACGAAAACTTCACGTTTACAATGGAGGAGAAAATGCCTTTTTCTATGAGCAATTTCTACTACGGTCGTGTGTCTGTGAAGCGAGAATTTCTAGCAAACGAATTTAGAAATCAGTTGATGATAATTTGATGAATTAAGTGCTTCTTTTGAAAGACAATGTCGAATTTATAACAGCCTTATAGATTTGCAGCGTTTGACATGCAGTACAGTGTCAGTAATACAATTATGTCGTTTCTTTTTCAAGATTTTTTGCATATATAACGGTACAAATTGTAACTAATTTTTTAAGATTTACAATCGGAAGATGGAACATTAAGTTCTCCTTTTGAAAGACAATGTCGAATTTATAACAGCCTTATAGACTTGCAGCTTTTGACATGCAATACAGTGTCAGTAATACAATTATGTCGTTTCTTTTTGAAGATTTTTTGCATATATAACGGCACAAATTGTAACTTATTTTTTAATATTTACCATCGGAAGAAAAGATAAAATTTCCCGTTTGAATGGAACTTTCTGAGCTTCCTTTAGAACGTTGATTGTCATAAAATGACACGCCTATTGCTTCAGAAAGGAAAAAAGCGACCAATTAATAAAACCTGTAAGACGGATATTAAATATAATAGCCAATCAAATTGACAGTCTACATTAACACCGAGTAAACACGTGTTCGACTTATTTACTGATATATATACGTGTGTTGTGGCAATCTAAATAAAGTCTTATAAACTTGGTTAATTCATAGTTATGTACGATATATTCCTAACAATACTTGTTTTACAGGAGCTGGTCTCTAACTCTTTACTCTAATACCATCTTTCTAAAATCTCCATTTTAATGTTATTCTTGATGCTATAATCGCAGAGAGGGGATGTTTTCTTGTTTGAAAGAAATAGGCGTGTAACAATTGATATCCAATAAGAAACACCCTAAACTTTCCACTCCAGTGCCCTTCATTCAGTCATTATAGTTATTTTTTGCAAGTGTGTGTTTATAGAAAAGTTTCACTAATTGTATGGTTTGGGTTTTCTCAGAGTCTTGCTCTTTCCTTATTTAACGTGGACCATTTTTGGAGATCAAAATTGTGTGACCATGAACACTATATGAACATAACTATAAAATTTTTCCCTTTTTAATAATTATATTAAATAAATAATCTGATGTCAGATTTAAACAAACAAAACATTTTAGCGCATTTAAATGATTTTTACTATTGTTTAAAACTTCAAATGTAGCAAAAGTAAAAAAAAAATAACCAGATCTTACCATGTATTATGTTTTAATATCATACTTTCATGTAAATTTGTTGAATCTTATTCGTCAAGAAACATTTTCTTTATGATGAATTTGATCTTGTACCAACCCATAGTTATAGCCCGATAGATGTTACTTTATAAATTATACCTTATTACTTATATTTACTTATATTTATCATAGGCGCTTGGGTCAAGGATACTGTATATTCTCTATATAATGTATTGTCGAGGAAATTCGAACTATACTCGTAACATTTCTTTCAGTGTGCAGTATTAATTTTCAGTTTTTTGTAAAACTTTCTGCTTCATATACACTAGAATGTCACGGAAATTCGATTCTATGCACGCTTTAAAAATGACATATCCCACTGTATAGTTTCTTTTTAGTATGTACAGTGGGATATGTCATTTTTAAAGCGTGCATAAAATCGATTTTCCGTGACATTCTAGTGTATAAAGCAGAAAGGTTTTCAAAAAACTAAAAATTAACACTACACACTGAAAAAAAATGTTACGAGTATAGTTCGAATTTCCTCGACAATACATTATATAGAAAAAATACAGTATCCTTGACCCAAGCGCGTTTTAGGTCTATGCTCACATAGATCGCTACACAAGTGTAGCGATCTATGTGAGCGGATCAAAGGATCTGATTTTAATCAGATTGGTAACAAATTCTATAGGGAGAGCTTTGATCAAAATTAAGGGACGCTTTGACCGGAGCGGTTTTATTTGGGGGCGATATTTCCTGAAATTTATATTTCATGGCAAAATTTGTAAACCTACTTTCGTTTTTACTATTTTACATATAACTTTCGTTTCATCTGGACTGTGTACTGAGTAAAATTATTGAAATAATGGCGTACAGTGACGACTTTGCAGATGGCCTGCAGAAGATGAGAGTGAGTGAAAAGTTTTGTGATCTTGTGTTGGTGACAGAAGATTACACCGATGACATGGACGAGTCAATGAAGGTGCCAGAGAAGGTGAAATTTCCCTGTCACAAAGTTGTTCTGGCCGCACTGTCGGAATACTTCGAAACGATGTTTGAGAGCCGGTTTAAGGTATAATTAAAGTTATAATGATGTACCAGTAATCAATAGAAATTATAGATATTCTTAATCTTTATTTTCATATATTAAATTGTTTCAATCTGTTTAACATTGTTGATCGACAGCTTATTTAGTTATTACCAACCTTTCAATTTTCAAACCATTAACATCCACATACATGCATGAATTGTACTGGCGTAACACTTATTACAGACGCTTGAATGCTTCCTCCTGTACTCTAGTTTACTGTCATTGTAACATTAATATGTCAAATTTATGCTAATGAATATGACAATTAAACAAAGGATATTCAATCTTTTGCAATGTGGACATTTTGGATATGGAATTTATTTCTTGCATCAGTGGGACAAGGTTTACTATTAATATACATGTAAGTGTAATAGTATGTGCCATGGATATTGGTCCGGGTAGTTCAATGGGTATAGAGCACATGATTCGTGCAATCATGGGTGAAAATTTTCAATGTTCCTGACTACATGCACACTTTTTTATATTGATACATAATGTTTTATACAAATACAAATATAAATGCAACTGATTGCGCGCATAGATTCAAACCCAGCCTATTTTTTTAATATCCCAGTCAGGTGCTCAAGCAATGTTGACTGTGATCCAGGGCGTGGCTTCATTATTCACGGGTAAAAGTGTTTTTTAAAATGCTCTTCTCTGTCAGATTCAAGTTATATACATGAAAGTATAATATTTCTGGCCATAGCATCACACTGATGATGGATATGACAAAAATTTGACTAAAAAAATTTTATAAATTAACAATTTTGTATAAGAAATTCTCTAAAATTCACATTTAGGAAGTAATCATTTTTTACAATGAAATTTTTATAAATCAAGTGTGAAGTCATAAATATATCTATTCAGAAATGTTGCACCGTCTTTTGGTCACCAAATATCAAAAAGTAGGAATATAGCTACTTTGCAGAAAACCTATGTAGCTATTAATAGCTACGTAAGTAGAAATAGTCTTTGGACTGGGCCTGTTAAATGCTTCATTCTGTACTCTAGTTTACTGTCACTGTAACATTAATATGTCAAATTCGTTTGACCGCTACATACATTTTATATATGTACACTTATGTACTTTAATTTACTCATGAGGAAAAAAATATATATGACTGAAATGATTGAAAAAAATTCCATTTTAATTTTAAAAGTCCCATTTGTTCTACAAAATTTTGAATTTTCCGTTGATATGATTTCCATCTCTTTTTTTTGTTAAATGGTGGCATAAGTTAAATTGTGACATTATAGTTAAGATGTCCTAGATTAGCAATGTTGAGGCATAAATCATTGTCAACATGGATTTTAACATGAATCTGAAAAAAAAACTTTGGCAAATTTTAGTCTATGTCAGGATAGCCTATTTTCTTTACTGTAAACCAATTTTTATTCGTGTGCAAAAATTTTCATGAGGTTCACTTGAGCCCTGTCATCGCGAAAATTTATTACCACGAAACGGTCCTTAAAGTGTTTGTGTCTATTACAAACAGACCAAAAAAGGCTTGATCATGAAAATTAATCGTCACAAACAAAAACCTGTTAAATGGATAAATAAAGTCGTCGTGAATAAAAGTTGGTTTACAATATCTTATATCGTTATAGGCTAAGAACAACATTCTAATAAGGAAGGAAAATCAACAGTTCTGCTGTTATCCCTTGATAAAATACCACTTTGATGTTCTTTTAAAAACTGTGACAAAATGTCAATTCATTCAATCCTAAATGAATTAACAATATTTTACTGTTGCATATAAAGGAATATGTCTTCTGCATCCATGAGATTTACATGTAGTATTGCTTATCTCATCAATTTTTAGGAAGAAAAAGAAAGAGAGATAGATATTGAGTTAAGTCCAAAGCAATGCGGGAATCTCTTGGATTTTATTTACACCGGGCAGGATACTTGGGATACCGTGGATGATGCCATAGACATGCTGCATATATCACAAATGTACCAAATACGATCCCTTAAAAACCAATGTCTGCAGTACTTGATGAAAAATATTGACAAAAAATATTGCATTCGCATGTGGGAGGTAGCGAAACTGTTAGGACTGAAAGATTTAGAAGAAAAATCGAGTGTAATTATTTCCAAAGAATTTGCCATGGTGTCTGCCACCAAGGATTTTCTACTGTTAAATCAGATGGAATCTGTTGTGGAGTTACTGAGCAAAAGAGATTTGAATGCTCAAGAGGAAACCATCGTAAAAGCTGGGCTGAGTTGGATCGAAAGCGATTTTGAACACAGAGAAGATTACATCAATTACATATGCGAAACACTGCAGACAAAAAGTTCTTTATTGGAAATCTTGGTAACTGAAGAGAACTTTCCACAACTGCATAACAGTACCGTCTTCAAAAATGCAATGGATACAGATGTGATATATGCCAGATCTAAAGGAGATAGAAATCGGGACGCAGTGAGACTGGATATAGAAGAATGTTTGGTGATATTAGGAGGGAGTGATGGGGGAAGCAATAGAAATGTCACCTGCTTTGGTTTTCGACAGAAAAAATGGTTCACCCTTCCTCCCATTCCATATGATCCAGGTTGTTATTTCTCAGTTTGTACCCACGAGTCAAAGATTTATGTATCGGGAGGTTCTGCGGGAAAAGGATCAGGGTTTTGCGTGTATGATGGTGAAAGCAATACATGGACTCAGCTACCAAATCTAATCTCTCCAAGACAGTACCACTGCATGGCATCTTCTTGTGGAAAAATTGTTATCCTCGGTGGCACTGATGCTAAAAACAGCTCGACATTTATGAAGGAAATCGATGTTTTTGATACTGCAACCAATAGCTGGAGTGAAACCAGAACAACCCTCGATCAAGAAGTGAGATCATGTGCTTCTTGTGTCTTAGAAGATAAGATCTTTCTCATTGGAGGAATTTGTCCAAGTAACAAAAAAGCAGAAAAACTTCAGTACTATGATATGCGCTCTTGCTATTCTGTATTATATCGATGGTGTAATATTCCAGAACAAATCCAAGTCCAGGCACGAGCGGTGGTAGTAAACAATTCTGTATTAATCATCTCTAAGGACGGTACAGTTTTCAACTTAACAAGAAATCGGGGTGATTACTCTTTTGATAGAAAAGGAAACATCTCACAGTTTCCAAGAAAAGGCTTTGGTGTTTGTGAAATGGAAGGAAGAATTCTTATTGTGGGTGGAGAGAAGGACTTCTGTAAAACCAAAGACATGATACAATACAAACCAAACGAAAACTTTACATTTATGATGGAGGAGAAAATGCCCTTGTCTATGAGCAATTTCTACTACGGTCGTGTGTTTGTGAAGCGAGAATATCTTACAAATGAATGTGAAAATCAGTTAATGGCAACCTAAGAAAACGGGTGTTCTTTTGTAAGACAATGTTAAGTGAATAACAGCGTTTAGTATAGTTTTGCAATTTTTGAAATGCATGTACTAATTTAAAAAAAAAAAATTTTTCTAGATGTTTGATGGGCTTTACAGTAATACAATTATTTCGTTTGTTGAAAAGAAATTTTGCAATTATGATAGTGCAAACTTAATTGATTTTTGAAAATTTACTACTGAAAAGATGGAGGAAATTTTAAATTTAATATGCAAAATTTCTTCTGATTAATGAAATGTGCTCCAGTAAAGCGCTTTTCCTTCAAACTTTTATCCTGAAGAGGTAAAAGTTCGAAGGGGAAGTTCTGAGCTTCCCTCAGAACGTTGATTGTCATATGATAATGACGCAAAAAAAAGCGACCAAAATTAATGTTCATTCGAATACCTGTAAAATGGATATTCCATAAACGTAATAGCCAATCAAATTGACAATCAATATAAACACCGAGTAAACACATGTTCGACTGATGTACATGTGCTGTGGCAAATCTAAATAAACTCTAATAAACAGGATAAATTCATAATCATGTACATCATTGGTTGTAATACATGTTTTACAGAAGCCTGATCTCTAACACTTTATATTAAGACTAACTTTCTAATATCTCCATTTCTATTTAACTCCTGTTGAGAGAGAATGCTTTCTCGTTTCAAAGAAATAGGCGTGTACTTGTAGCAATTGACATTCCAAAAAAAAAAAAAAAAGAGAGAGAAACACCCTAACTTTCCATTCAACACTGCTCAAACGAAAAAAATTATTTTAAACCACTTCAATGCGCCCCATTGTAGTTTTTCTTTAGAAATGTTTAGAAAATATTCATTAATTAGTTTAAGTTGTCTGCGTAGTCTTGCTTTTACTGTATTGAGCTTGGATCATTCTTGGAGATCAAAACTGTGTGACCAAGAACACTATTATTATTGAACTTAACAATACAATTTCCCCCCTTTTTTATAAATTATATTAAGAAATCTGATGTCAGCTTTAAACCAACAAAAGCATACATTTTAATGATTTTTACAATTATTTAAAACTTCATATGTAGTGAAAATAAAAAAAAAATTAACAAGTTTTTACCATTTGTTATTTATTATTGCAGAACTTATTTTCATCATACAGGACAATGTAATTATTGAACAAAAAGTCAAAGACACTTCAATTCTTGATGTTATAAATATTTTTTATTAGTATTATTTTAATTATTACCTTGTTTAAAAGTACATTGAGAAGGTATTAAACATATAAATTATTATTTGAATAAAAATAATGAAGGCTGAGTGTCTGTGCAATGAATGAAGGATAAATCTATGCTAGAGACTTCGGAGTATAATAAGAGTTATTTTCCTTACTTTATTATAAAAGTAAATGGTCGACTGAAATGACTTTTACGTTTTATCACAATCAGTGGTCCACACGTTTTGTCCTCTCTTAATAGATCAAGTGTGAAACTGTTCAGATTTTTCAAGTAGTTTTTTTTTTTTTTCAAAATTAGTAATGTATAAATCTTTTCAACAAAAAAAATCATATAAGAAAACATGAAATTAAATTTCATTGTAATAAAATTACTATTCATGCTTTCTCTCTCTCTGTCGTAAATTTGAAATAAACGAAACCAACCACAGTCTTTCACTCCCTTCAATATTTGGATGTGTTACTGAATAAAGACGACAAAGGCCATCTATAACTAGATTGCATGATAAAATGAGATGAATTAAGATTTTTTCCATCTTCAAGTTTTCTGATTTATGTAGTACATGTAATATTCCACTATCCCCTGCTAATGGCGTTTATGCCTCCGAACTAATTGCTTACTCAAGAGCTGGCTCTATGTGTTACCAATTTTCAAAACGAGGCATGCTATTCACCTGTAAGTTGATGTTACAGAGATTACAATATTCTCGTTTAAAGTGGGCATTTCGTGAACTCTATGCTTTGTTTGACTTGTTCCATACCGATTGTTAGGCCTTTGTGTTTTTACCGAATTTGACTGTATAAGGAACGTTCCATCTACCTAAGCAATAAATGGGACTCCTGGCCTGTGGGACTGAAAAAAACTCCACCTCTGAAATGTCCGAGAGTCCGTATTTTATGCCCTCTGTATATATTTGTATTGTTATAGATTTTTTTTAAAATCTATCACTGTTCGGTATCTCCACCTCCATCTTCATATTAAATTTTTAAAAAGAGGAGTTAATTGCGGATTAGAGATGGATACCCCAAAGCATAACAGACCGACGGATATCCCGATAACTAGATACTTAGTCTAGTACCCTCCACTTTTGATTTGAAGCAGAGGATATGGCTTTTTATAACCCCCCCCCCCCCCGCGCTTGAAAAGCGAAACGGTATATAGTGATCGGGATGTCCGTCCGTCTGTTACGCTTTGGGGTACCCATGGCCATATCTTATCCAGAATTCCACATATAATATTGATTTAAATTTATTTATTTCTTTATTACATAATGCCTTTGTGCACTTCCTAATTTACTTTTTGATCTGACATTTATTTCGGTTCGCGCAGAGGAAAACATGGACTTTGCCATTATAACCGTATGAGAGGCGGGGGTAGTATTATTTAGTGAGCTCAGTGCTCACAATACCTCTAGTTCTTCATGCAGTCTCTGTAGTTATATTTACATGAACAACCTAATGTGAAGGTGCAGCTTTTTTCTGTTATGGCATGTGATTTCAAAATACATATTTGCAATTAGCATGTAATCAACAGGTTTAGTTGTCTAAATTTATAGGTTTCGTCATGTTTAAATTGTTTTTACGCGATAAATGTCAGTTAATGATATTTTAAACGGGGTTAACGTGGTTTAAAATCATAAAATCTGCTGTTAGAGACGTAATGGAAATATATTTTTTTCATTTACATACTAGGTTCACAGTATCAAAGTCGGCGAACTCTTTTTTAAAATATGACCTTGGACCATTTTGTACCAGGCCAAATCAAGCATGTTTTTAGACTGCGTGCACAAAGAACGAGTGCACTTATGGGCCCCGGTAAAATGTGAAAAAAATAAACATTCATATTAAGCAAAATTTTTCATCCCAAATCATTAATTGATATCTACACCATAAGATTCAACAAATTCTACCGATGAAATTTACGAATATACAAAGATCAAAACCATAGAATGTGGCAGGGGTCAGCCGACATTTGTGATTTTCTATAGTAAATCGAGAACGGTCATTCATTTCAAAGCTTTTGTTTACTATGAGCCTAACTTTGTACAAACTTGTGCGAATGACAAAAGACGCATAATACATTTATAAAACTTGTGTGAAAGTAGGAAATTTGTACACGATTAGGCTGGTAGTTAAAATATTAAAAATGTACAAAAAGTACAATGTTTTTCCTATAGCAAGTGAGAGGTATTTACCTGTATGACCCATGTTGAACTCACTTGTGGCATAAATTATCTAAAATACTTATAGTCACGTGAGTTCTACCCAGGTAAACATTCCTCAAAGGTGCTCACTGTATAACATCGGCAGGTTTTTTTTATCATTTAGTCAAAGTCTCGCCGCTTAGAAATATTTGTATGTATTTATATTTAAGATTACGGTAGGGTAAAGAGAGTTTAGCGCCATTCATAAAAGTATCAGACATTTTTAACATTTATACAAGACAATAAAACAGATATTGAAAGCCACCTGAACACTCCTTGTAGATTTCAAATTAAATGAAACTTTTATTGTATGTATTTTTTTCAAATGCAAGAGTACCAATTTCTTAGTTTGATTATTATGGCTTCAGGCAACTACACAACTTCCTTCATTTTTTTTTAAACATATGTAGTACAAAAAAGTTAAATTCCACAAACACGCCTGAGTATGATCCACCATTAGATTGTTCAAGAGTCGATTTAAATACCTATTCGCCTTGATTTACATAAACGAAACTAAAAGAAGGTTCGGTACGACTTTTCCGGATTTGTAGGGTGTCCATAGGCATTTTAAAATATTCAATTTTTTCAAATCCATGCTGATTTAGGTAATGCTTATCGTGCTTTTTAATTAGAAATACCCATTAGTATCTAACTATTTCCAAAAGAGAACGATTTGGTAATATATTCTAAAGTAAAATAGCACATAAAAAGGGCCCATTAAGCATTGCTTAAGTGCACTTGTCCTTTACATAAATGCATGTACAGTGTTCAAACATGAAAGATTTTTATAACTTAATCTTAATTTTTGTACATTTGTTCTTCATAAGTATTTGCATCTGACAAATGTTTGCCGATTCATCGGATTTATCCTAGAAATGTAGAAGAAAAAGGGCATTTAAAACTATTACTTACACAAGCTTTTTATGCTATTTTTTCTATACGAGGGCTATTCAATTTACATGTATTATGTCCTGAACTCTATGACATACAATATAGTAATCATATGACATTTACCTTGGCTTTCTCTCATGAAATAATTTTTAATTAATTAATATACATTTATGTGACAATGTTTCATCATATAGTTTTATTTTGAGAAGCTGGAAAACAAGGGCTATTCGAGACATTGCACTAAAAATGAATGATAAAGAAGCAACAAACAACAAGAAGTTAGAAGCCTCATTAAAGCTGCTGTAAAACTTGTTCAGAATCCCAAAGAAATATTCACTGAAATATGTTTAAAGCAACCAATGTTCGTTTTACAGACGCATTCAATGATTTCAATGATCAAAAATGATAAAATGGGCATGAAAAATGTGTACTGTCCTTGGCAATGACTTACAAAACCAATTCAATATTTCCTAAAACTCAGCATATTATCATTGATGACGTTTGATTGACTTTAAGGGGCATAGCAAATTTGGTAGTTATAATTTTAGGGGGGAGTTCACACTATTTGAAAGAAACATTTGACAGTTAAAAAGCTTAGTACTCAATGGTCACCCTATGTTTTGAAAAATGAGTGAAAACGACGAAGTGTAAGAATATCCAAACAATTATTTTTAAAAAATCAGAAATTGTAGTTATTCACGTTTTCCTGAAATTCTAACAGATAATGAAACCTGAATCTATTGCCTTAAACCTCCAAAGAAAAATTTTACAAGATGCAGGTGACCAAAACAACAAAGGTC